AGAGGAACTGTAACATTTTCCAGATATATATCATAGGAAAAGAATGGCAAGAGTTAACTGACATCTAACCATGATGGTTTGAATTAATGCAAAGTATAGAAATGTTGGAATCTGCTTCAGTGATCAAAGAGAGAGGACAAACCTGAGGAACCTGAAAAAGTAGAAGTTATTATGTATACATTTAATTAAATTTTGCCTGAATTCATTTATAACTCTGAATGCTGACCTAAGGGCTGAGTTATAAAAACTAGTAACTGCACACAGGAGCTGCTTCCCACATGTAAAATGACAGTTTTTTTAAATTGCAACACTGAGAATCCTCAATTTAAAGGACTCTGAAAGTTGTTGTCTAAACAATAACATTCCTAAGCTGCCCATGTTACTCCAATAATGCAGAAGTGGAGGCACTACACAAGAGAAAAACAGGATTATATGGAATAGTACTATTTGTTAACCACAGGTGATCATCAGTCACATCAACCAGGAATGGAAAGAGACATTGTTATCGAGATACATCTTGCAGTCATTTCCTCGTTAGACAACAGAAATGCTTCTGTAGATATGGTTTGGAAAAATATTGTGAAAGTCAAAAATTCTGTTGTTGTTTGCATACAATTTGTGTATCTCAGAATTGCTAATTGTGGCTAATTGACGAGGTGCCAGTGCACATCTCCACTGCACAACTAGGCACACAACTGCCATGTGACTAAGACACACTCTAGTATCTTGTTGATTTCTGACAATTAGCAATGGTAAGCAGTAAAACAGTAATAGGATTCTTGCCTGTACTGTATTTGGTTTGGAACATGATAGTAGTAGGCATCCTTCAGTCTCAAGAGACTATGGTAACATGCTCTGAATACAGGTCTTGGAACAGCGTCTAGTGTGGCTGAGAAAACCAATTCGAGAATGAAAATCCCTTCCACACTGAAGACAAATACAATCTGTCCCCTGTCCAGCTCTCTGATTTTGCTGCTTTCGTGGCTGCCTCTTTGCCTCGGCCTGCTGGACAAGGGTCTCTTCAAATTGGGAGAGGACGTGAAGCACCTCCTGCCTCCAGGCTGAACGCTCAGATGTCAAGGCTTCCCATCGGTTGAGGTCCATTCCTAAGGCCTTCAGATCCCACTTGCAGATATCCTTATATCGCAGCTGTGGCCTCCCTCTGAGATGCTTTCTTGTACTAATTCTCCATACAGGAGATCTTTTGGAACACGATAGCTAGCAAAATAAAATGGTACTAATTCTCCATACAGATCTTTTGGAACATGATAGCTAGCAAAATAAAATAGCATTCTTTCTCCAATCCATGTACAGAAAGATGTCTTGACTGGCAGCTGAATTTAACTCCCTGATTGGCAATAAGGCAGTAGCTTCTGTTGCAAATGAGGCAATGGGCAAGGTTAAGGTATGCAGGAACTGCAATGTAGGACACACATCTCTGTTCTGCAAGAAAGAACAATGGTGGAATCCAGGAAGAACTGAGGAGCGCCTATCAGAAGGATTTTCCTTCCTGATGAAACTATCTCACTTTACTTAATGGTGATGTAGATCTGGAAATGGAATCATAAAACTCCATCTAAAAGAATGTATTTATACTCACATTGGGAATCACTGTGCTTTCCACCAACAGCTGTTTTAGATGCTCAGAACTATTTGAAAAAGACTCTTCTTCTGCATACTTCAGAGTGTGGAGATCTTGAGAAAAAAGTTATCTGCAAGGGCTTGTGAGAAAAAAACAACAAAGCTACTCTTTTCTGTAACATACAGCAACCTGCAAAATCTGGGCAAGTTAATCATGACATTTATGGGTATTTCTGTGGAAATTAACTTCTATTAAGAGCACTGTTCTTTTTGATGTAATGCCAGCAGTATTCAGTTGTTTTACATTTTAGGCCAAATTGAGGATCCAAACACTGGGAAGACAGATACATTTTATCTGATCTAAGGGTCTAGGCATGGATTAAAAGACAGTTACCATGAGGTTTAATTGGAGATTATTTTTAATGATGAATAAAATATATTGTCTCATATTAGAAGACAGAAGGCACTCCATTATTCTGAATATATCTAGAAATCCCTGGAAAAGGTTGCCATCAGTTAAAATTAACTTGACTAACAACAACAACAACATGTAGTTTGGGCTTTAGGCTAAGGAACAACACCAACAGATCAACTACTAAAAACCTGCAGAGATTCCACTACATCTGACCCACTGCCCTCACTAAGCCTCTGAACATGCTGGTATCTGGTATTTCACCATTGAAAAAAATCTTAATAAGTGAGATCTACAAGAATATATTGCAATGTGGAATGATGGCCATCTAGACTCTCTTCCAGAATATTCTGTTATATGTTCCTTCATCCCCTTCTCCATGTAGAAGTAAATATTCCATAACTTTTATTTTCACTATTTTTTTTGTATACTTCTACAACTTTGGAGTTCCCTAAGCCTGGAGATAGCTATTTGTGGTAATGTCCTTTGGAAGGATCCACATTCTCCAAATGTGTCTGTGTAGGAGGATTCTTCTAAAATGAACACACTGCATAATTTGTATTTACATTGAGTCTTTAAATCAAGCTTTTGTTTTTAATCTTTTAAAAAACTTGTTAACCCACTGAGCATATTTTTGGGGGCGAAAAGGCAAAGCATACTCTACATTATTATACTATTACTGTGTTTCCCCCAAAATAAGACAGGGTCTTACATTAATTTTTGCTCCAAAAAAGCACATTAGGGCTTATTTTCAGGGGATGTTTTATTTTATAATGTCATCTTCTTCCGGTTGATGCACAATGATGGAGGGCGGGGTTTCACTTAACTAGGGCTTATTTTGGGGGTTGGGCTTATATTAGAAGCATCCTGAAAAATCCTACTAGGGCTTATTTTCTGGTTAGGTCTTATTTTCAGGGAAACAGGGCAGTTACGTTATATTTATTAATTATTTAACTGAAACAATTCTATAACCAAAAGGTAAAAAAGAGGGATCTAACCCTCTAATGAGTAATCGCCATCACCAGCAGCATCATTGAAGGTTCTAGCTGTCTTTTACAATTGCACTCATTTCACACACTAGCAAGGTTGTGCTCAAAATCCTACAAGGCATGATTCAGCAGTATGTGGACCAAGAACTCCCAGAAGTACAAGCTGGATTTCGAAGGGGCAGAGGAACATGTGACCAAATTGTTAACATGCGCTGGATTATGGAGAAAGCCAGAGAGTTCCGGAAAAACATCTACTTCTGCTTCATTAGCTA